CTTGTTGATGCGCTGCGAGCCGGGCGGCTTGTAGCCGTTGAAGTAGCGCGACTTGCCGACGTGGGCTTGCATCTTGGTGGCGAGCGGCTGGCGGAAGAAGTGCAGGCAGGCGGCCTGGGCGGAGTCGGTTACTGAGGCGGGGATGTTGTGGTTGGTGATGTAGAAGAAGCCTGAGGTCGTGGCGGCGGCGCGGATCTGCTGCGCTACGGCTTTGCGGTCGGCGAGGGCGTCGCTGAAGGCTCCGGCTATGTCGATGATGGGAATCTCGGAGGGGAGGGCATCGCGTAGGGGGGTTGTCAGGACGGTGCGTGTGACGGGGCCGTTGCCGGAGGCCAGCCGGAGGAGGGTTGTTGCCGGCTTGTTGGTCGTGAGCGTTTCAGTCATGATCAGTGAAGGGACTAGAGGAGGATCTTGACGATAGGATCAATTCTTTTTTTTTCCCCGGTGAAACATGCGTGTGTCTTGCTGATATATGAATAGTATCTGGCTCAAGAGGTATGAGACGTTTAGTTGGAGTTCTCGATGCGGGGAGATTTCGGGGTCCGCCGAAGATAGGGCGGGGGCCGTTTGTTATCTTGAGCCGTTTACCAGTCGCTCGAGTTGGCCACCCTCGTGCCGGAGATGCAACACGTCTCTCCATGAATGCTAGGTAGAAGATGAGAGCTGATAGGTGTGGCTTCAGCATGAAATGGCGATTTCTTAGAAACGGCTGGATACGACTCGTGTCGTCAGCCCATCCTCTGCTTCCTCCTCACCCACACCTCTTTCTCTGGCTGCTCGGAGGCAGCATCACTCTTGGCCGTGCTCAGTGCGTGGATTCCGTGGCGCTTCACATCTCGGACCTGGGTCTCCCATACGCCGAGCTTGTACCGAGCGCGGTCTGACATGCCTGTGTGCAGGTCAAACGACCAGGCGTGCTTTGGACAGGTTATGCCTGCGCTAAGCATGACTCCAAAGTCCTCAATGTCGAACGGTGTACCACGAGATAGCGGGTAGGAGGAATGAGGGCAGCGCTGTGAACATGAGCGAGTGGTCTCGTCTTGACTGATGTGCCTGAGAAGGGGCTCACATGATCGATGGCGTGGAACTTGCCCCTGTGCTGGAACACGAGCACTTGGTCCTTCAGATCCTCGTCTTCGGGTGGACCGTCATCCTCTGCGATCGGTATCTCGGCCCTCTTGGATCCAGGTTCTCTTGGTGCATGAAACACCTTGCATCCGGGCTTCAGATCTGGGCCGCAGAAGTGGTTGTCCAAGAGGCTATCCTCATCAAAGCCCAGGTCAGGAAAATCAGAGGCCAGACCGACAGAGAACCACTCATCCCCGGACCGTGATGGTCCTCCGAATGGGTGCCAGCTCATCATACACGGGCGTTTCAGGCCCCAAGCCCACTCGCAGCCGGTGTGAGTTGTGAAGTGTCGAGGGAAGCAGACGTTGACGGCCTTGACATCAGGGGTTTTCCTCCATCGTCACGAACGGAGACACTCGAGCGGAATTTCTTCGAATAGTATGATTGGTTGATACCGAAGGGTTGTGGATATCTCGGTGAAGCCAGCCTTGACCGAGTCACGGTGCTCACCGAGACGACCGAGAACTTCCCGACTTGACCTGAACGACCACGATCAGGGGAAGACGCAGCCTTGGGCAGCGTCCGATTGACGGTTATTGGCTTCCAATGGCTGTATTATCTAACTGAGCTTTTGGTACACAGCAAAGACAGCGTCATGCCCGCAATTTGTGGGCGCGAACAAGCGCCGATCCATGTGCTTCTCACAGCGACGTCATCGATCTGGAACCTCGTCTCCGGCAACACAGCTGGCTTCTGGCGTGTTGCCAACACATTGCAATCCCTTATCAACGGAATTTTCATGAGATTACATCCAGCAGGAAAATTCAGATACACTCTACACCGCCATATCGCCCAACCGTCACGATGCCCACAGAAGACGAGGTCCGCGCGATGCAAGAGGGCCGCGCCCCGGTCCCTCGGGCCCAAGCCGAGTCCATCGACGAAGCCGTTCCTTCTTCCCTCGGATACGGCGTCCAAGGATCAGGCCCTGTCGACGAGACCGAGAGGAGAAACACCGAGTACGCCGCACCGGGCGCTGGGACCAAGGGCCCGGAAAACCCCAACGTCGAAGCCGAGCAGCTGGAGACGCTCGCCGAGGGCAAGGTCGCCGACGCTGTAGATAGAAAGAGCGGTACACAGCTCGCTGAGGGGGAGACGGTGACGGATCAGAGCTTTACTGATGATCTTGAGAGGTACGCCACGGACCATCCGGGTTCTCGTTCCGGCGTCACGGGCTAACGTCTCTGTAGGAAAAAGCGAGAACAGGCAAGTGCTCGTGAGGCCATCAAAGAGCAGAGGGGTTCTGGAGTCGATGTCGATGGCGGTCTTGGAAGCAGTCGAGCGGCAGGCACTGAAGACAACCGCGACGTCTGAACGAGGGCGCGATCTTGTCTGGCCATGTGTCACACCTCATGAACCACAAATCGAGGTAATGCCCATGTAGGAAATTCATAATTCTTGCTCACTATCAAGCGGTCCATGTCTACATGTAAATGCAATCAATCCTTTGTGTAACGCCGATACCATGGAATCGCTCCGTCATTTTGGTTTGTAATTCAAGCAGATACCGCAGCCTCGCTCTTCTTGTACTCTTCGCTGAAGGGATAGTCGTTGTACCCGTCGTTGCTCTTCTTCTTGTAGAACGTCTCACGGTTGTACGGCGCGAAGGGGATGCCATTCTTGACACGGAAGACGAGATCAGGGTTCGAAATGAAGGGGCGGCCAAAGGCAATGAGGACGTCCCACTTCTTGTAGTGCTTCTCGAGGGCCTCGACGGCGCTCTCGCCAGTGTAGGCGCCGGCGACCATGACGGGGGAGAAGTTGTCCCACTCCTCGAGGATAAAGTCGAGCGTGTGTGGGCGGTCCTCCTGGAACGGCTGAACACTGTCGCTGGGCTGCTGGGGCACGATGCCGAGCAAGACGGGGTTGCCGCGGGGCTCGACGAGCGAGAGGTACGCGAGCTTGTGGCCGGCCTTCTTGATCTCGCGCACGACGTAGGACGTCTGCTCCCACGTGTCCGCCGAGTAGGACTCCTGGAAGGTGGCGAAGGGGCTGAGGCGCAGGCCGACGCGCGCGGCGCCAATCTCCTCCGACACGGCCTTGATGACCTCGAGCAGGAAGCGCGCGCGGTTCTCGATCGAGCCGCCCCACTTGTCGGTGCGCTTGTTGGCGCTGTCGCGCGTGAACTGGTCGACGAGGTAGCCGTGTGCGCCGTGGATCTCGATGCCGTCGCCGCCGGCGTCGACCACGTTGCGCGCCGCGGCGCGGAACTCGCCAATCTTCTGCCAGATCTCCTCCTCGGTCAGGGGCGAGGGTGGCACGGGACGGCCCGACATCTGGACGTCGCTGCTCGAGGCGTACTTGTAGCCGCGCTCCTGGACGTAGCCCGGGTTGCCGGCACGACCGAGTCCCCAGAGCTGCTGGAAGACGTACGAGTTCTTGGCGTGGATGGCGTCGTAGATCTTCTTCCAGCCGGCAACCTGCGCGGGGCTCGAGATGCCGGGAAGGTTGGGGTCGGCCTCCTCGGCGGGGGAGATGCCGGTGGCCTCGGTGACGATGAGGGTTCCTGGGGCGGAGGCCCGGTCACCGTAGTACTGAGCCATGAGGTCGGTAATGGGTGCGTGCTCGTCGTCGTTGCGGTAACGGGTCAGCGGCGCCATGGCGATGCGCTGGGGCAGCGTCATGTTGCCGACCTTGAGGGGTTCGAAAAGCTTGGAGTTGGCTGCCATGTTGTGTGAAGGTGGATTGTGGTGGCAGAATTGATGGAAGGACGTTTGGAATCTATGTCTACCAAGGATGTAGTGAGTGATGAGGTCTTCTGTCTTGGACAAGCCCGAGAAAGATCTCAGGACTGGCGACTCTATATACCATGCCCAGATGTAGGTCCATTTCCAGAACTCTCCAGAGAATACTCTTGACATTGCGGGATTCGAATTCCGGGATTCCACAGCCCCTCAAGAAGATGGAGCTAGATGCGACATCTGCCGATGAGCTTAGAAATAGGAGCGAGCAGAAGACCCACCGCCGCGTGTTAGAGACGGCATTCAATCATAGATGGCGCCATCTGAGCTCACTCTCGATCGTACCTATGGGCTGGTCGAGGCACTAAAGCTGCTCCCGTGAGGGTGACGTCGGGTCAGCCGAAGAAGCGGCACACATGGCATCAGGGTTGCCCAGGAACAGGAAGAAAAAGTTCTGCTGGGCCGACAGGGTCCATGCTGATCATCCAATGGTTTTTCCAGTACATGGCAGGAACCTGGCGTCGCATCTCTGCTTGATCTCCGACGAGGAAGTGAGCTTCAGGAGTCGGATGCTCGAGCAACTAATGGCCAAGTCTGTCTAATCGCCGAAGAGCTCGTGCTTTGATGGATGTCTCTGGAGTCATTACGTCACATGATGCAGACCCTTCAACTCGGATTATTAAGCTCGTCATCCTCTGTCGGGTTTAACTATCGCGGCGAGTCAGTTATCACCTAAAGCACCTCTGTTAGTAAAGCACCATGTCCTTCCGTTTTCGTGGCACAACATCTCCAGTGCACATGATATAGGACAGCCTTAGTAATCTCAGTTGCCTTGTATACTCGTCATTCTTCCGGCACTGAGATCCAGGGTGCTTTTCCGTCTTCTGCACCCACACTACCCTCAAGGCCTCAGCAAGCTTTGTGCAGGAACAGTCTTGTCCCGAGCCATTGCAGCACCATAATGGGTACCTTTCAGAAAATTCGTAGATATTCCAACTTCATTACTATTGTCGTCACTTCTACGAGGGCAATTGAGACGACGCGGTCTATCTTGCATGCATGTTCACAACAAGAAACGCAACGAGTCGTCACCGCTCCACCAAGGCAGGCCAACACGTCCGGAAAGTCCATGCTCGTGGGATAGTTGTCACCAGGCTGCTCAAGACTCGATCAACTATGTCCTCTGTCTACCTTGTGCCGTGTAATTTTGAAACGCAACGGATCTGACACAGTCCCAGGTACGTCATGCGAATGTCATCTTCATGTTATTGGGCAATTGTACGGAAACTCTATCTCCCAGTGCCCCCATAAGCCATGGCCCCCAAAATTGAGCACCCTTCTTCATCATCGGATTCAATGCTGGTAATAAAATTAAATTTTGGCCGTCAGTTGTGAAAAGTATGGAAAGTCGGGCTTAGACGCGTTCTGGTCAGGACCGCATACATGACGTCAACCCTAGGATAAGTCGGCCAAATCTAGTCCATATAGAATCTCTGGTCCATATAGAGTCTGTGGACAGCTCGTATACTCCGAGATGCTCGAGTAACCAGAGACAGCTTCGACCTGACGGCGCCT